AGGTGATCCACCCGCTCTGCTAGATCCAGCACGGTGCCCGCGCAGTCTGCCCCAGGTGGGCCTGGATCTCCTGAAGACCACGCATGTAGTCTCTGTAGAGGTTTAGGGTTGAGGGCTTGTAGGGTTCAGGGTTTAGGGTTCAGGTGTTACGGTTGGTTTGGCAGCCCTACAATCAAATTCTAAAACATTTATCAACACCTAACCCTGAAGCGCCAACAAGCTGGACTCCTGACAATCTCAACAACCCATTTGTGCTGCTGGAGTAAACTAACGTAACTAGGCCCTATACCTTGGACCCAAGGCTTCTTCAAGTTGGGCCCCTTTTGTACCTCAGATATGATGCCCTCTCTGCACAGATGAGATGACTTCAGGCCGTAAACGCCGTTACAACGGCTTCAGACTTAGGGTTTAGGGTTTAGGGGAAGGGTCCCATCCGTGCCAAACCCAAGCACAGGAAGGACGTCTGAGCTCTCACACTCTCACACTGCTCCGCAGCATGCATCGCGGCGGTCCTGGGTAGAGGCCCATGACCTGGAAGCCAAGGCATGGCCAACTGGCTCTAAAGGTTCTTTCCTGAGGGTCAAGCATTCAGCACGTCGCGGAAGTTCAAGCCTTCGAAGACGCTGAGTGAGAGAGAAAGAAAGAGAGAGAGAGAGAGAGAGAGAGAGAACGCCCCAGATGGCTCCACAATAAGACCTTCAACATACCCCATGCTCATTGGAATTGATGCCGTCCTCTCCTGTAGAAGCTGTGTGAAGACGCGAGCATAACCGTCAGCTATGGTGCTGCCACAGCCCTCTTGAGTAGCCTTTTTGTGGTGGTTGAACCCAGAAATATTATGTTCATGATATAAAATACTGATACTATACCCCAAGGGGAGGATATAATCTTGCTCTATATTGGGCACAATTGTATCCCCAAACAAGATACTGCCTTCTTGGGGTGGGCTGCCTATGGGTATTATCCATATAATCCCCATATAACCCCAATATCTACCCTATTCTAATCTGGTAGTTTCCATTTTCCTTTCCACTAGCCCCGTTTAACCCCACTACTACCTAAACACCCCAAACCCCAAACCCTTACCCAAGCCGTAAACTCTAAACCCCCTATGTTGTAGCCCCCTTTCAGTGAGGCTGCCGGCCTACCGCGCGGATGCGGAGCTGCGCGGAGCCAAGGACCACGGGCTGCCGCAGATTTTGCGGCACAGGCCGCAGACCCGTCCTCCCAAGGCCGGGGCGTGCGTGATAGAGGTCACACACAAAAGTGTTATTGTTAGTACTATTGTTATGCTTCCATTCTTGTTCTTGGTAGTGTTCTTATTGTTACATCCTGGTATACTCTTGTTATTAGTATTGTTGCTATTGTGATTAAACTTGTTATATGCTCCCCTTTTTGGGGGTTCGGGGATCATGCTCAGTGCAAGATACACAACAGATGGCATCTAGGGCCGCTGCAAAGCCCCGCGCGCTGGCATGTTGAGGCGCATCGGGGTCTGGGCTTTCAACTCGCTCCGCACCAAGCGGCGGCCAAAAGCCTACCAAATCCCAAAAGGGAATACTGACTGCCACTAGAATTGGGGTTTAGGGATTAGGAATACATGTGTAGGGATATATAGTATATTGTGGATTATATTGATATATAATACTGACACTGGTGGTTGGTAGGGGAGGAGCGGAATAATGCCCTTACACCCTACAGCTTCAACATGCACCTCTCCCTTCCGGCAGGACAGCTCCTGGCTCTGGGGCATGAGCTTGACGAGTTATTACTATGATTACTATGGATCTTAATATTATATCATATCATTACCATTTCTATTGTTATTATTATTACTACTATATTTACGTATATTTAAGGTTTTGAGTTTCCGGAAGTTTGTTAGAAATTGTCATTAGCACTACTGCTGCTATAGACATGTCACGTGGTGGGCGCGGTGTGATGCTTGGGTCCTCCTCGCGCGGGTTGCCAGACCTCTGAAAGCCGCAGTCAGAACCAATCCATCCTCTAAATAGTAGTGTCCATTTTCTTTTCCATTCTCCCTATAATACCCTATACTATACCATGCTATATTCCCTCATGCCCCCCAATAACTACCACATATTTCCCAGTATTCGCAACCCCTTCTTGTTGTTGACAAACCCCAGTCAGAAGATGGGACTTGCCCAACAAGTTCCTCCAGCTTATCCGAGAAGCACCTGAGATGCCACTATCGCCTGATGTCGCAACGTCCCTGAATCCTGAGTTCCTCCAAGCCCCACACAGGTGCGCAAGCGCGGAAGCCACAGCGTTCACGGGCTCAGAGTCCAGGTCCACGCAAGCAACTCGAAGTCTCTCAGGCTCCTGGTAGCCATCTCCGGTGAAGTCATGGCTAAGGGATGAAAGGCTCAATAGAGAAGCCATATATAGAGAGTGTGAAAGCTTTCTCTAGGGGGCTATGTAAACGATTATGTAGGGGCTGGAAAAGAAAAGCTAGATATCCCTGGCAAATTCGGGCATGACTGCTTGGGATGACTAGGAGCATGTGAAGATTCAAGATTCTCTTGGAGTGGCAGCGAGCCTCCACCAGAACCACAAGAAGACCTAAAACAACAAACTGCAATCCAACTGTAGCCACGGGGGTGAAGTCGATACCCGCCAGAGTGGGAACAGGATTGCCCAGAACGACCTAAACCTGTACACCCTATACTGGGTTGCTGTTAAGGAACTTATTAAGTTACTATGACAAGGAAACCCTATTATTTACTATATACCCACCTTCTGGTAACTTGAAATAGATTTCTGAACAGCAACCCAGTATACTAAATCTGAAGCTCAAGCCATATAAGCCATAATAACTGCGTTTACTGCGATTTGAACTTGTGCTACCTACAACTTGGTTTCAGTATCATTTCGAGGGACCCCTGAAATACATGCTTGAGTTCAAGAACCCTTTAAACCCTGCACCCCAAACCCGAAGCCCTAAACTCTAAAACATCATAAACCCTAAACCCCAAAACCCTAAACCCTTTCTTCTGCCGGGCTCCTCCAGCCGTGCAGCTCGGGCAAAGCCCCAGAGGCCCGCATGGACAGGCTCGGTCGTCGCTGGCTGATCCTGACATGTCGTGGTGCAGTCCCAAAAAATTCCTATACACCGTTTACAGGGACCTAAGCTGTCCATTTCATGTTCCATGTTCTATTTTTTCCAGTTGATTCTCCATAAATCTTGGAGTGGTTCAGTTTCAGAAGGTCACCCGAATCGGTATCACAATGACAGGCCACTGACATTGCAAGTAGCAATCGCTCGCGCTATTCATCCCACTAGCTCTGACAGAGAGCCCCTCTCCTCATAAGGTTGGGCATCTTTCGTAGCAATGATGAGGGGAAGACCCGCCGAATAGGCAGCACCTGCCACGGGCCACGAACTGTCCATGCTCCGCTGACTGATTCCCAATGCTCCGCTTCATGGGGAGAAGCAAAGGCAGGAATGAAAACCTTCATGTGTACATATATATATATATACATATATTGCAGCTCAGTATCCATGATACTGGATCCTAACCTCTCCCAAGCGGGTCCTCCCAATCCAGAATTGGCTATCAGGCGCGAGAGCTTCGTAGGCCCCCGACGTGTCACATGGAGCGCCAGGGAAAGGACGTCCACGTCTTCTGTGCCGTGCTCTGCGCAGGTTGTTCCCGCACCTTCGAGGAAGCCACTATCATACTACTGCTACGAAATAACCCCAATCTACGATGGTGGTTTCCATTTTCTTCTCCATTATCCCTGAATAACCCCAATATACTATGAGATTACTGTACTTACTACCATTGTGATTATTTCTCATCTTACTATACAGGCTGTTCCCACACCTTCATGAAGGCCAACGAAGATGAGGGCTGTGGAGCCAACGAAGAGCTTCTGCAAAGCCTCGCGCAAGAGAGAGACTCTGCAAGGTCATGAAGGCGATGGGGGTGTTGCTGTACAAATACATGTGCCCCAGGTAATGGCACCCGTGATAAAGGGGCAGCAATGGCAGCAACATACCTGCCCTCGGAGCCGGCCTCCTCCTGATTTCGCGTACTCGTGTAGTCTCTAGAATCCCTGGCTGCCTTTGGCTCCCGACTTTGCCCAAATCCTTCTTATGAACACCCAGCCTCCTCCTCCTCATACTTCACCTCTTCACTCGACACGCAGCGACAAGGGCCTTCTAAGCCGGACTTCCTGCAGAGGCACAATCATCTGAGTTTTCTGGGCAGGTGACTGGGGGGAGGGGTCTTGGGTCTGTAGGGTCTATGGTGTTCAGGGGCGCAATCGGGTTTAGGGTTTAGGGCTTAGGGTCTTCTGGGGCGCTTGCAGCAAGGATGACATCAGGAGGGAATTTTGAGTGATCCCCGACAGCTTTTCACTCTGCCTCGCCTGATGTCTTCTTGGCGACCCAAAACGAGCCACTTGCTTGAAGGCTCCTTCGCAGGCTTTGGTGAAGACCCATATGGTAAGTTACAGATACTACGGCTCCGAATAGTTGGCGTAATTCATGGGACTATAATTTAGACTACCTAATGTCTAAATAAAATAACGGTTGGGCGCAGTTGTTCAATAACTGCACTTGCTTCTGGCTTAAGGTAGGGGGCACATTCTACTTGAGCTTTTCTTTCCGGAACAGCTCAGGCTCTTACATTCTTCTCAGATACGGGTGTATGCACTCTTCCTCGAGGACCCAAACACCCAACAGCCCTAAAACCTATAATAAGTTGCTTCAGGGATTTGGGAAGCATGAAGGGGACCGCAGATCGGGTTAGGGGTTTATGGTTTGAGGTTTTAAGCATACCTCCAGGGACATAGTATCAACCCTTAGGGTGTCAAAGCTCATTGCCAACATTCATAACTTAACTGTACAACGTCGGACGGACATGAGAAGTGATAACTAAAAGGATTGATGGCTTAAGCTCTCAGTCAAGGTCACCTGGGTTCCATAGCTGCCACACAAATGCCTAGGCTCCAGACAATAGAGCAGTCAGTTCTCGCAAAGCAATCGGCATGTCTCGTAGCTCTTCGCCATGGCGTATGAGTTTCTGGAAGTTGGGGAAAAAAGCATTCACTAGACAGAGCAACAAGGCATTGCAGCCTTTGACCCAAGTAAAGTCACCGGAGTTCTCGTTGATGCGCTTCTGGTAAACCCTCTCCATCTCGTCCGCGTCCAAGCTTGGCCGCCGACCACGCCCAGGGTGCTGGCCAAAGAAGAACTCGTATGCGTGCATGATCTGATCCTCACTGGCGTCAAAGATAGCGCCATCGATGATGCCCCCAAGAAGGCTACCACCCATACCACCAACCAAACCAGCAGTGATTCCAATGGCCCCAACAACCCATCCCACAGGATTCGAAGCGAGCGCAAGGGTTGCCACCGTGGCTGTGACTCCAACGCCGACACCACCAACAGCGCCGCCCAAGCCAGAAGAAAAACCCTTTCGCTGCTCAACACCGGTGATGTGGCCCCGGGCACGTTTGCTCACGTTCCACAAGCTCGAGACCGCCAAGGTCGCTGCACCAACTGCAGCACCAACCCCATACATGGCATCTGTCGCTGCTGCACTCATGCCTTTCGCCAGCGCGGGAGCCACAATGGCTGCATCCATGGCTCCACCCATGGCACCAGCTCCAAGACCCACAGAGGTAGGCACCACTACGCCTTCAACCACCTGGCCTGTCGTCCTGATGGTCACATCTCCCATGGCCACAATGAAGCCAAGCCCAGCTCCCCAAGCTCCTCCGCGCAAAGCCTGGCTTCCCACCGACGGCCCCGACGGGCCTCTCCCTAAGACCTCCGGAGCCAAGTCCTCCTTCCCAATGGTTGCAGTGAATCGGTGGACATCATGCGAGACTAGATCATCCTTCCCAATAGTTGCAGTGAATCTGTAAACCCTTTGGGAGACCTCACCCTCTTTGGGGGCCACTCCATCGGTCCGGAAACCCAACTGCTTCCAGGAGTTGTGCAAATCAACCTTTTAGCCCTCTTTGACAGTGAAAGTGGAACAAATCTCCACCGCAGCATCCGAGGCAAAACCTTGCTGCCGGCCGAAAAGCAGTTCCAGCTGCTGTCCACGTTCAGCTGAAGTGCTTGTTGGGTTGGAGACCTTCTGGAGGGCCAGCATCGCATCTGAAGGCTTTAGGGGTTTGGAGGTCACCTTGAAAGGGTGTTGATTCTGCCATGTGCCCACCACCACAACCTTTCCGTCATCCTGAGGAACAAGCCAGAAATGGTGATCGCCATGTCGCTGTTGCTTCATGGAAATGTAAGCTGGATTTCGCTGTTCCAATTCCTTGAGCACCTGTGGGAAGTCAATGCGGGCCTTCCCAACAAGGTTCTCCATTCCGCCAAAGACTTCGGCTAAGATGTTGGCCCAGGTGCTACAGGAGCTGAAGTGTTTGGACATCTCAGACATGCTCATCCCAGACTCTTGGAGATACTTCTGCATGTGCCACATCTGGCTCACAATTCCCTTTGGAAAGGGACGGTCAGCCATGTTCTTCCTCTGTCTTCAACTGCTACGCGAGCCTGTGGGCCCTGAAAGGAGCTTGAACCAAACGCTGCGCATGGTACTTCCACGTCAGGACTTCAAGATCAACTGCATTGCGCGTGGAAACCCTGAGGAGGATGCCTGACATTTCTTCCGAGCCTCTCAAACCCTAAGCCCTCAACCCTAATCATAGCATGAAAGCCCCAACCCTTGAACCCTAAGAAGGGTGCCCCCCCCCCCGCAAACCCCGAGGTGGATGCCTGAAAGTTCTCCGGCTTGTCAAGCGGCCGCCAGAGGGTGCTGTAAAGCGCCTGCTGCTCCGCACCCAGCCGACCAGAGGCCTGAAGCACCTGTAAAAGGCGGCTTAGAACATGGGAGGATCATGGTCTCCCCTACGACCCGCAGGGTTTAGGGTTTGGGGTCTACCTATTTTAGATAAGGCTAGTTGAGGGAAAACTTTTCGGGGGGTAGAAGGGGAGTTCATGAGGGGATGTAATGATCTAATGAGACGGCATGACAGAAGTAGAGTAGAGTGATGTGTACGTGCTGCTACCTAGCAATGCAGGAGAGACACGTTTAATACAGAGTACGAAGCTATGGTAGATGGAGGAAATCTTGCACCACTTAGGAACCCCATCATACTGTAATTCCTGGGGTGTAGGTATTCAAGCTTTCCTCCATCCACAGTATGAAGGATTGGAACAAGTTTTCCGAGCTCCCACCTTCTGCAAGTGCTCGTCGCGGACCTCCTGCAGATGTACGGAATCGAAGAAGAGCACCGTCTCCCCCGCGTCGTTGAGGAGCCAGCACCTGCAGTCAAGAAAGCAGGGGCTTGGAGAGGGTTTAGGGTTTGGGGTTTAGAAATTTCCCCCTGTTACCGTAAACCCCTAGTCGGGAATGGAGCACTGGAGAACAGGTACTATCCTACGGGACTATATGACGTGGTGTGTAGCGACGGATATAGGGATGCGGCCCCCCATCCCCAACTAAGTACCAGGGCCAACTTTTTTCCAGAAAGGGAAAAGGAATAGTCCTGCAGAAACCGTGAGCGCCTGAAAGCAGTGGAGTGCTCCGTCCAATCCAAGAGCTGATAGTGAGACCATACGCCGATGGAATAGGCCCGGCCCGTGGGCTGTAGCCTTCGCAAGCAAGGCTTAGGTGGACCCCGAGGACCCTAATATTACTTTAGGGTCCGCCTATAGAGGTTAGTATCTCCCTACATATCCCTACATGACCCCAATATATACCCCATTATAACATGCTGGTCCAGCTCCTTTTTCATTATCTCCATATAACCTAAATATTGCCTAATACCCTAAACCCTAAACCCCAAACCCTGAATCCTGAAGCCTAAGCCCTGAACCCTGAATCCTGAATCCTAAACCCTTGGGTAAATACTACTTAAACACCCTAAACCCTAAACCCCAAACCTTATATATGAATAGTTCAACCCTAGGGCCTCTTTATGGAGAGCGGGATCTTTAGCGATCCGATCCCCACCGCCGGGTCCGCCAGAGCCATGAGGGCTTGGAAAGAGCTGTCGATGAGGGAAGGGCCCAAAAAGAAGCCTTTCTCCGTACCTGCCCGCAACTTTGTAGGGTTTAGGGTAGTGCGTAGGGCGATCATCCTCATGATAGGAGCCTAATAGGGCTCCCCAAAAAAAGGGATCCCTAAATTCTTGGAAACCCAAATCCATGTGAACCAACGTAGAATTCTAGTTTCCATGTGATTTTCCACTATCTTTCCCGTTTGATTCTCCCTTGTCCCTAGTCATGTTGGAGTACTTTGTACCCCAGGCTGGGTGGCGCACCATCCCTTTCCATCTCCAGGCGCGCGAAGCCTTGGCGCTCACTCTTCTGGACCTGCACCTCGCGCAGACATGCAGACAAGTATGGGATCATTGTTGTAAAGATCATTTTGTGACGGCTCACTTTGGGGAGATCATTTTGGGGAGATACTGGTTTCGGAGGCTCCCTCAATGAAAACTGCTCCGCACGAAGTAGACGCGCGCCTGGCGGACGCACCGGAAGCGCCGCTGGAGAGGCAGGCCACTCTTCACGCCGAAGGAGTACATGAGATCAATGTCCACCTCCCGATCACCAAGCCGTTCACCCTTTCAACATGTTCCCAGCCTTCCACAGGGAAAAAACGCCTCCTCTGGGCAGCTCTGACGGAGCTGTGCCAGGTCTTGCTTGTCCTGTGGGAAAGATTGAAGGGGCCCTAACAAAATTCAAATGCCATGGCTTCATTGGCAACATATGAGGACCTTGGTCCATATTGCGTAAAGTATTTCCCATTATTTTCCCAGTCCTTCTCCAAGCTGGCCCAGGTTTTGAGCCGAATGAGACTGGCCTCTCCAGGTTCACAGACTTTCAGGATTCGGGCTTGGGGCTTATGCAAATCTACAGGTTTGCCAGCTGCTGGCTTCATGTGCTTTTTATGGCTGAACGGTTTTTATGCGGCTTCTACCTGCTTGTGCAGCGTGTGGGGCTTGAGGGCAAACATCCCAGGATTCAAATCCCTAAACCCCTAAACCCCAAACCGTAAACCCTTTAAAAGCCTAAACCCTGAACTGCGTAACTAGGAGTCTCGCCTCGACGTGCGTGGACACAATGCAATCCTCATCCTCGGCTTCACCCACGGAGCTCTCCACCTCGTTTAGCGCTCAGGGGTTTACAGGGTTGGGACTTTATGGTATATTGGGTTTATATTGAGATAAGGGAAAAGAAAATGGAAGCTACTACATTACAGGGTTGGGACTTTACTTATGGTTTAGCGGCTCAGGTGTTTGGAAGTTTAGGTCCATGGTTAAGAGTTGGGGCGGGCGGTCTGGGGTTTGGGGTTTTGGGGTTCAGAGTTCTGGGTTAAGGTGTTCAGGTCTCGGCTCGTGAGGCCAGTTGCACGCGAAGCCATCTGACTTGCCGAGTCGACATGGAAAGAGAAGAGAATAGGAGGAATAGGAGGATGCCACCCTACAACGCACTGTACCTAGAGTCTACCGTTGCGTGATGGATAACCACAGTGTCGTATACAAATCACAGAGCCGACGGCCAAACCCACTCGAATGAAACATAACTGAAAAACAATCTTATGCTGCATGTCATGCATAATACTTGAGCATGATGTATACTTTGGTAGAATATGAGCTATAGTCTAAAATCCTCGTATCCCCCATTACTTAATAACCCCAAAATTAGTTCCCTAAATAATCCCCTCTGTCAACCCCGTTTAAAGAGTTTAGACTACAGCTCATATAGAGAAAGGTGATGTCACCTCCAGTCGCCCGTCCGCCCAGATCAGCAGCCGTAGCTCCACGGGCTCCTGAAGGCAGCTAAGAGGCTCCTGGCCCTTCCCTCCCCCATTTTCAAATTCGAGGGCAAAGAAGAAGGGGCTTAGGGGTTTTAGGCTTGCCATGCGCTTCCG